ATGTCAATGTCTGACAAGCAGGCTCCATACATACAAACCATATGTGGTGAGGAAGGACTCCTTACCCCCAAGCCACTCCTTGTACCTTAGCTGTAGCTCAGGGGCAGGAACAGGACTCCTTCTTCAATCACTTGCTGCGGCAAATAAGCTGTAACCCAAGAAAACTTTAATACCAAATGAAAGTATAACATTGTCCACATAAGCTCACACTTTTCATTACTGGGTAACTATTTTACATTGTCTTGTTTCACACAGACAAAGCCCAAAGACAACACTACAAAAGATATGAACTAAGGTGTTTAGGGAGGGCCTGTGACAGAAAAGACTGGCTAAAAGCTGCTTCCATTTGCACTCAAGTCTCCCATGAACTACCAGCAGAAACTTCAACCTTTCTTGGTTAGCAAATTTTGTCAAGCAAACCAAGCTACAATGCATAGGTTGGCCTGCTATATACATGGACTTCATCAGCATCCCATACCTCCAAAAGGTATTTAAAAGCAAACATTTTGTAGGTAGTACTTACAGAATATCCTAAGTTGCATACAATTCTAGAATAAACAAACTATGGCCAGGTTTTCTAATCAAAAAAGCTTCAGTGAAGAGAAAAAGACTTCACCTCCCAACCAGAAAACCTCCTTTTTACATTTTTAAAACTAAATTACCACTATACTTTTCTGTATCAAAATAAAACCAGGTCATAAGTTAAACTCAAATTGCATCATAAAAACTCCTTACAAATGACTTCAACTGGTTATATTAAACTATAATGCATAATCCACTTTTCAATGAAATTAAAAGTGCGTACTAAACAGTAACTTTTCTGTTTTAACAAGAATTTAAAATTTCCCAAATAACTACTTTTCTATCATAAAAACATAGAAGAGGATATATAAATGCTACTTTATTGCATTCATTTAGCAATTGAGCTAATTAAACCATTCTCATTTTAAAATTTGAGTGCTATCAGAAAAAGTATCTTCTCAGTACTTTTACAAATCTATGCCAACTGTGATCATCTCAAACAAAAATAAGGCATGATAATTAAAGTGCTTACTAAACTAGGTAACCAAAGAATATTTATGTACTATACATATTTTCTCAAAATTCTTCCTATATTAATTCCAGGTTTTCTAGGTTTCTCCACAATGTGTGGAGTTATTGCTCATGTACGTACTGGAAATCAGCTTTTACTTAGGTGAAATTAAATATCAATCTTTAAAATTTAATTACAAAATGAAATCAGAGATTATCAACCATTTTCCCAGACTCACAGGAAGCAACTCAGTATCAGAGCTCACCCACCTTCTCTCCTATCCACCTGAAAGTTCCCACTGCAGGGGGACAGGTGGAGGAGAGCACTCACCATCTCACAGGCAATCCTTTTCTTTTTCAGGTGTTAGAAAAGGTCTTCCTCTTATTGAGATGAGACTGGTAATATGAAGTCTTGGTCTTTGCAGCTATGTCTTTCCACATTACAGCCTTTGAATACTTTATTTTGCAGCAGTGAATAAAACTCTTCTGATGCTATTTGATGTAGGGGTAATAGGATTTCCAAAATCTTTATGCTGGAGACTCTTCTATCAATATGGTCTAAGCAACCACTTTTTCAAACGACTTGTCATCACCTTCAAAGCCCTGGTTTCACAATATTCATTACTTCACTGTGTCATTTTTGGAATGTACACTTTTACCTACTATTTATGTTAAAGTAAAGAGTAGGAAGAATACAGAAATTACAACTTTTTTATACATACACATAAAAACTCAATCTAAATGATACCTGCAAATAAAGTTCTTTTGGGGTAGACTGGTATCTACATTCACAAACGCACAAATCAGCAAGCTGAACAAAAGCAGATTCATAACCAGTTCTCAACTGCAAAATGAGAAAAACATGGCAATTGAACTTCTGAGTGACTAAAATTTACACCATCAGGAATACTTATTCCACATACTACACCTTGGTACCTTTCCATGTGAACTCCCACAAGTGGTTTTGCTATAGTGGAGATGTACATCTCAACATGCATTTATCTTTCTCTTAATGTAAAACTTCAGTAAGCTCAATATCAAAGAGCACAGGTAGAGATCAATCAAAATAAAAATAATGGGGTGCGCAGGGAGAATAAACACAGGCCTTCCCCTCCAAAGAAAGTAGGAATATTCTTCAGGCAGGCAAGAAACAAGAAAACAGCTCTGGAAATCTAAGCCAATGCTGAGCTACCTCTCTCCTGTATCTTCTGTAAAATTACCTAACATAATTCCTCAATTCCAAGAGACATACATGATTAGAGGAAGGGTAAACACTATCGAATAGCCACACTGTTAAGTACACTTCCCAGAATCTAAAAACAAAAGCTATGCAACTTAGAATTGAGGATTACAGATAGCTTTCCTGCTGCAGTAGCACCAACTGCCTCAGGTGGGAAATCAGTTCCCTCAGACCCTGCTAAAAGTGGTCAAGCTCAGTGATAATGTGAGCTAAACAAACCTCGAGTTAACTTTCATTCATTCCCTCCACCCAAGTATTCATCCTAGTTACAATAAAATTCTCCTAAATAGAAAGCAATCAGAATTGTTGGTAGTCTGCATATCTTTGTGTTTGTTTCACATTTACAACCAGCTCAGAGATAAGTTTTGAATAGAAAACATGAGAAGTTTATTTAGGTCAAGGATCCCAAAACAATCTCAAGACTGTTTCATCTACTGCCATGGGTGCCGCCTTCTCCTCCCTTCCTGGGAGTTCTTGATTATCTATCTACACAGTATTTTTGACCCCCGTCCTAAGGCAAGGATTTCAAGGAAGGGCTTTATTATTTTAACCAATAGAAACTTGGCTTGTCTAAACTAGAGTAAAAATTGTATGCTCCACTGAAGACTGTGAATTCTAGGGTGTTAGTTTACAAAAAACAACACCAGCAGCATGGTGAAAGGCATACATTGAATCAATATACTTGCAGCCTGGCCAACCAGGGCACAGCGTCTTCATTTCAAAGGTTTATGGAATGAACAGATATGCCTACACACTGCCTCTTCAGTGATCACCTGCTACCTCCCTAAGACAAGGAAGGTAAACAACAGGAATTTCAGCAATTTCTGACATTTCCCAGGTTCTGTAACATTACCTAAAAAGCAGTTAAAGGGAGGGCTAGAACAATCTCCACTTAATTAAAAATGCTTCCATTCTAACTTGCTTCCCTCCCCCATTGTTCCTATCCTTTTTAAACAGTATATCCTGCCTGGTAGGGGGAGGAATGCCAAGAGAGCCATCGAGAGGGTAAACAATACAATCTTCTCCTAAATGCAGGGACAGCAAGCTTGGGGACACAAAGGCATGCCTGACCAGCCTTCTCTGGACCTGATCAAACACCCCTGGTGTCTGTTCCCAGCTGACCCCGTGCAAAGCACACTTTCTAACAATCTCCTCTTGCTGCTCTATGATTGCTGGTTTTTCAGGAAGAGCTTAGAACCACGGTCCCAGGCTTAAATTCAAACACACTTAGCTACTCTTCCAAAATAACCCAAAATCTGATTCAAACATGAAATGTGCAACATCCCTAGCGCTGTAGAAAAAAAAGCTATGTTTCCAAAGTTCAGACGAGGGACGACGATTATTTTATTGCAGCCGGTAGGGGTTGGAGAGAGAAGAGCATACACCACACTCTACATTACCGAATTCTCGGAAGAATGGGGATTTCGACGACGACTTGAGGAGTGCCTGACCACAACAGAGGATGACGAGCTGCCTTCGGCCGCCGACCCCTGTCCACGGCCGCGCCATCACCTGAGGTGAACAGGCTGCTGGTTCGCTCACCATCCCTCCAAATCTGAAAGCCCCTACCTCAAGATCAATCAAAAGCTGGGGGAGAAAAGTCTTCGCAAGGCGCAAGCAAGGCCACAACTTGGATGAATGAAACCGGGCTAAGGGCACCCGGAGCAGGATTTTCGCTGAAGTCAGAAAAAGAGAAGTCAAAGATTTTTTTTTTTTTTTTTTTTTTTTTTTT